ACACTCGTTCCGGCTTCCCACCCCGCCGTTCGTTGTTCTCCTGATCGACCGTGTTCCGGTGGCGATGCGGCGGGAGGAACTCTTGCGAATGCTGCCGTTCTGGCTGACGACCATGTTCAAGTCGTCGGCCAAGATGTTCACTGCACGGGTGATGGTGCCAATGTCATAGACTGAGAGATTGCCCAAGTCCTTGATGAAGGTCTGCTCCTTGCCCTGTCCATCTTCCTTGAGAAAGGTCGCCACATCAAGTAGACTTTGAAAGACATCCTTCTCTTCTGGAACCTTGCCAAGGTTCATGACGCGCAGTTTCCTTTGAGCTGCCCAGCGCTGAACGGTAGACGAGAGCAGCTAGGCCAAGCAAGACCATGCCTCCAAGGATGACCACCATCAAAGAAGAGATGACGGTTCCGAAGGTCGCCAGAACACGTGTGGCATCTTCACCACTGCTGTCGGCATATCCAAGAGACCCAGCCAAAAGCATCACAAGGAGCGACACTGAGACTCCGTCGACCAGGTTCAGGATTGGAGACTTCCAAGGCAGGAACCACAACTGAAGGCAAAGAGATCCAAGCAAGATCATGTGCATCAGCGTAAGTTGCCTGAGCTGCACGGTCTTCCCTGTCTCAAGGGTTTCACCTGCGATCGGAAGGTGGTGTGAGACTCTCTTCGTATGACTCGTAAACCGAAAGTATCTTCCTTGTGCAGTGAAGTTGCAAGCTGGGCATGTTGGTCGCGATCACACCTGGCATGGACAGCAAGGGTCCTCGAGCCAAGAGGACCAAGCCGAAATACCACACGTTTGGCCGGAAGCGGAAGATCAAGAAGCGAATGGCCGCCAGCCTGGCTTGAAACTTGAAGCATGAATGTGGGAGAAAGAAAGTTTCATTCGAGCACAGTTTCTATGCAATCTATGTGTTCTTTTGAATGCTGTCGCTTTCCTGCACAGGGTCGCAGCGACATGTCGGGGTGCAAGGCCTTGTGTCGCTTTGTGCTACGTTGATTTGTCATGATCTGCCACGCTTGGATGTCAGGGTATGGCAAACACACTGGTTGGACACCGTGGGTGTGACAAACATCCTGCCGCTGCCGCAAATATGTCCAGACATGAACCATATTCGCACAGGGTCGAGATGGCCACAGATTGGATCAGATTGACAAGATTGGGATTCACACTTTGGGCTGAACTCTTCCTCAAAAACAATACAAAGCGGCGGTCGCAGGTGGAACCCTTGGGCCTTGGTTTGCCTGACCATTTTGGCGCTTGATATGCAGCGTAGCAAGCCGCTGTGAAGAAGGTGAAGGCCAAAACAAGCACCAACACCCCAAAGACCCGCATGATCACCTTGGTCATCATGTGCAAATGAACGATGTTGGAGGATGATGGGATGGGTTGGGACCGGTCATCCAAAACTGTAGCTTCAAAACCTTGCTGTCTCACACCAAAGAGCGTGCTCATCTGTGCCACAGAATACATTCGGGTACTTCAAGATACTCGCTTGACCAGTAGGATGCCTGTAGCACATGAACGGCATCAGGCCGACATTGCACATGGTCGTGAACCCGACCTGCAAGAACTGTCCCGTGGTGCTGATTGTTTTGTTCTGCTCCCACGCAAGCTTGCGGCGCTTCAGAATTGGAATGAAGTTCGTAAGCAAACCAACAAGGGGCAACGCAAGAACCACAATCCAAAAGAACGAGGCCGTGCTGACGTACCGGGCGACATTGCCTCCAGCAGCACAACTAAAGCCAAGAGCATCAAGGTTGAAGGTAAAGACTGAGGCAAAGTTCAGGATTGCTTCCAATTCAGCTGGCCATGGAACAGCAACTGTGTTCAAGACACCCAAGTTCTGGAATAAGGCCACTAGCATTCCCAAGGCTGCTGTGGTGGACATCATCACACTGGCCTTGGCCGTATAGCTGGATGTTAGCATATAATAAGAGCCACAGACTCCAAGCACAAGCATAGTCACCAAGAGGGCCCATGCAACTGACACTGCTCCACAGGGCTCACATTGGTCGGAAGCCCAGTAATGTCCATCAGCGCAGTCGCCACAAGTCAAACCTTCACGATCCCCGAAGCATTGACCGGGGGAGCCACCGGGGCAAAAGAGCTCCGCGGTACATTTGTAAGTGTCAAGAGGTACTAGTGGATTGCCTCTGATGCCCAAAATCAAGTACACAAATACTGATTGAACTGAACTGTTGAACCGTTTTGCCCCTTGGTGAACGTATTTGGGACAACCTGCCAACCAACATATTGTATTTTTCTACTGCAGTTCTAGAAAAAACAGGACCAATTACGCCAATTAAACATCAATCAAATATAATCAAATGATTGGGTGTGTAGGAGGGTTCAGGAATGTATAGTAACTCCAAATCTTGTTCAAGCAAATGTAGCGCGCTAAAGAAGCCTTTCTTGACAAAAGGGCCCCTCGTGTCGGTTGTACCCGGCGCTGCTACAAGCTTCGCAATGGTGCTACCCTTGGGGCAATGCATGCTTTCCTCACTGCAATCCTCACAAATGGAGAGCTGCTCGATTTTCCCTGCCTGGCACACGCAATCTGCCAAAGATGATGCACCCAAGAGAAGGGTTGTTCGGGAAGCAGCACAAGGGATACATGAGGTCTGAGCGGTATCCGGTTGATACGCTCCTTCATCGCAGGGAGTGCATGCTATGCTTCCAAACATGCTGGCTGAAGTGCCCTTCGGACACGGCTCACATTGGGTGGAGTAAGTGTTCGATTGGCTGTAGCCAGGGGGACATTGTTTGCATTGGAAAGTCCGTCCCTCATCATCAATGAGCTCCTCAGATGCAGTTCCTGCCTGGCACAGGCCGCATCCAACGGCCAGTGTCCTGTTGGGGACAAAAGCTCCGGAGGCGTCAACCAAGCCGAAGCCTTCATAGCAGCTGGTCAGCTTTGGTTTCCAGGCTGACCACCTGGTTCCAGGCAAAACCAAAATGGTTGGGTTTGGATTGTTTTGGATGGATGTTTCATCAGAAATTGGGCAACCACCTATATACCGTATCTTTTGTAGTTCCATGTCGAAAAAATGGAATGCTCTCCCTCACCTCGGCGCTACGAGTAAGCTGAGCTCGTTAGCCAAAGGTTGGGCTAAAGTTTGTAGAAAAGGAGGTCCATAGGTGAAAGTCACATGGAGACCATCGCGGGCCTATTTTTTTGCTATGTAACTTATAGCAGTTCATATCAATAGTAGAAGCCTGGCAGAAAACACGCTGCCCATTGATCCTTGCCTGGCTCGATTGTTTTTTATCCACTTGCAGGAAACATTGTAGGCTGAGCCGGTCTGCTCAAACTCCAAAAGAAGATGTTGCACTTCGGGCAGCTCGAAATTGATGTTGGAGACGAACCTTCATGTGGTGGGAAGAAAAACCATGAATGACGATTTCTCACATTTGTCGTTAGGACTCCATGTAAATCAGCAATCAACGGAAACCAGTCAGCAATCAGGATGGCAAAACATGTCAATGTGTAAAAGTGAAAACAGTCAAATTCACAGCGAAGGAACTCTCGAACCCGGCCGGCTTTGGATTGCAAGTTGTTGCTGACCATCTTGGACACATAGCTTCCTGCACCTCCTGTCTTCTTGTCTCCAGCAAGCCACTCATTGGCACTGTGACGTGCAAAAACCAGCTGTTCTGGCAACATTTGGATGAAAGTGGAATCTGGAACCCACCAGTAGTGTAGACACTGGAAAGTCCGCACATGCTTCAAGAACAAGGACCACGAGCCAGAGACTGCGAGAGCCGCTGGAATTCCGTAAGCCGTTGACCATTGCATCATGGGCTGTGCTTTCCACCCGGTCCCGGCCGTGAAGACAGGGATACATGCGGAGCCGTTGTGACGGCATGCAGGGGCATACCACCAGCGGTCGTTGGTACACTTGGCGACAAATGTACCATCTGGTTGGCTGACAACCCCGTCATAGTCGCCTGAATACTTGGCATAGTCCGACATTTGGCTCCGGTCGCTCAGGTCGGTCTCACTGCAGAGCGCCAACTCTGACAAGTTCACATCGTGGATGGAACCAAAATATTTCCTGACACTTGCATGATTGGGCTTTAAACATCTCCAATGGGGTCGACTATTCAAAACATACAAAGGATAATTATAGACAGTCACAAAAAAGGTCAAGGAAATCATCCTTTCAGCAGGCAAGTCTCTTCGGATCATGATGCGAAGTGTTGTAACCTCTACTCGAGTAGGGGTCAAAGTCAGAAAAAAAAAAAACTCACACATCAGAAACAATTTCACATTCACGCATGAAAGCTCTAAACAGGACATACAACCAAGTAAGCATGCTTCAAACGTCTTCCCGGGCAAAACATGCAATAGTGTTTTTGGAAATGTCCTGATTGTTCTCTTCTAATTGTATGTCTTCTGATGATTCTATACATGAAGCATGCTTGATCGTCGCCAATGTTACCGATGCCTGGTATTTGCTGCCCAAGAAAATAACATTATGCCTGGGCCCTGGGTTTCGCTTTCGACAAAAAAACAGCACTGAGACAAGCAAAGTAGCTCTTGTAGAAGTCCAGAGCAAGACCTGATTCACTGTAGGCAGCATTGAGAATAGCCTGGCTCACATACATGGATTCTTCGCCAAGATATCCCATGCTCCCCAAGTCCTCCGCGGCAATTCTTGGATACTCCTTGGCAAATTGATTCTGGGTAGAAGCATAGCTTCCAATCCAGGAGTCCACGCTGACATGAATCGTCGTTTCTTGGGTACCACATTTCCGGTTGACTTTGTCGTTGAAGTCGGTACATCCTGCCAAAGCGAAGACAGGAGAAGCTCCATTCCCACCCACTGTAGGATCTACATGAGCATGGAAGCCAAGCACCTCACGAATCATCACTGCTGTCATCTCGGCAAGAAGGGTGGAAGATGCCCAAGCCATTTCGAAGACTCCGATTAGAATGTTGTTGCCGGAATCATCCTGATTGCAGGGTTCAAATACTGGCAAGTTATGTTTGTTCAGGAACCTTCAAGGGTGGGGATTTTGGCCCATGTGCATGTGAGTGTTTCTATATGATAGAAAGTACTCGGCTTCGATGGTTACGTTAGGACAATCAATCAAGAAAGCTCAAGAAACATCCTCAAGATCGCTCGACCTGCCTGGATGTATGCTCGCTCACTTTCTGCCACACCATCATCGAGGCAAAGCTCGGCGCCGAAGCCCACCATAAGTCCTAGAAGCACCACTGCCAAGCGCAGCATTGCTCCAAGTATCTTCGAAGCTGGTGGGGGGGATACAACGGGAATCCGAGCTCGAGAGCCAAATGCTCAGAAG